TTCTCCACCGATTATAATATTAAAATGAAAAGAGAAATAATTTAATAATCTGAACGAGAACACAATAATCACAAAGCATTTACTCAACGACCGCTTGAGGATTATTATTACTAGTACAGTACCCGTGCGATGCACGGGGCTGCATAATTTTAGAGAATTTAGGAGAATAATATAATATTTCGTAATCATTAGGATCGAAAGAATTCTAATATGTTGGAACATTTAAAGAAATAAAAGGATTGTTTCGTCACAAAACAATTATATATTCTTAAAAAATATCTTTGTACACGACATTATGAGTTTGGTTATTGGTAACTCCCCCTTATCACAAACTAATATCTTCAATCATCTTCTATTAGTTACACGTGAAACAACAACATATAATTGGCCGTGACTAAAAACAAGTTTCTTCATGAATAGACCAACATGCTATAAAGATTGTCCTTGATTCTTGTTTATGGTCATGGCATACGAAATCACAAGTGGGAAATGTCGTCGCTGAAACTTAAATGGAATCCTAGTATCAGATGAAGTGATATTCATCCTAGGAATCAACACATTATCGCCAGCGTGATCTCCCGTCGATATCTTGCATTCGAGAACATGAGTAAAGAGTTTAGTCACAACCAATCGCGTCCCATTGCACAGTCCCATAGAATGGTTCATATTGCGCAACAACATTACTGGAGTTCCTACCTTCAGGTGCAACTTATGGTTAAGAGTTCCAGAGCACTTGATGCTATTTAAGAATTTTGGCGTGTGAAGATCTGCCAAGAAATCATTGGCATAATCCGACTTAGAAGTACTGTCAGAGCTCAAGTACGTACGACCTTCAGAAGAATTCATATCGGACATGTGTTGATTGATGGACTCAACAACTTCCAATGTGGGAGCTAATATAGCCCTATCCTTCAAATAACTCGGATCGTCAGTTGCGTTCTTGAAAATTGGATAGGTACTTTCTACAATCGTAGCAATTGGATCATCATATGGATCCAATCTTATATCATCTGGAATTTCGATCGCGGCCCAACCATCATTTGATCCTCCTATAGGACCATCTCCAATACTCGTAATCCAATCCGCAAATGCAGCCACCTCGTCACGCTCATCCGAATCGAAAATGCTCTGAAGACGCATGTTTTTCGTAAGCCGGAGCACAGTACAATTCTTTCAAATGCTGGATGCATTAATAGTTGCATTGACAATGTCCTGGCGACTCCCGTTTGGAATGACTGGAAGGATTTGTCGAAAATAATTATAATATGCTTAATATACCTATTTATGTATATACGTATATACATAATAATTTTTTTTATATTTACATAATAATATATAACGAAAAAAAATATACGAATGTGTAATATAATATTTATGTAATTCGAATGTATAAATATTTTTATATATATATATATTATATATATGTAATACATACTAATATATACTCAAAAAATTATATATACGCATATACATAACAATATAATATATAAATATATAATTTTATCTATACGTAATAAATACTAATATATACGAAAAAAATATATATTCGTATATACATAATAATATTTTTTGCATATACGTTATAATATATACATAATCTATCATTATATATATATAAAAAAAAAATACTTACTTCAAATCCATCAGAATGAAAGCCACCGTTTGTGTTTTACCTATTTTCACTTGCTTTTGTTGAATACTTTAAACATCAATAACAACTCCAATGACATATACA